TTTACCGTTTCGTATTTGCAAACGGAAGTGGTAACGGCCTGGTCACATCTGTTGCAAAAGTGATAACCGTTAGCGTGGACGTGTCATAAAGTGGAGATCGTGCTTAAGTAAAAAGAAAGTTTGTGACCCTCCCTGACTAGATGGAGTGACGATACTCGCATGGCGGCTGGCAGCAACTTCATACGTTAAGCCGAATATCAGGCTAAGTGACGCGCTGTGTAGGCTGCCGCGGGCTGATGATGATGTTGATGATAGTTTTCCCCGGAAGGCAAGTAAAAGCATTTCGCCCGGATATTTGCATTAAATCATGGTACTTATAAGCAGTATTTTGAATACAATCTCACCTTGTGGTTGGTACGTGATGATGAAGTCCTAGATGGTAAATGATATGTGTGGGAAGAGTTAGAAGATAACAAAAGAGTTTATGGATTATTTTCATTAATGTATAAGTAAATAATCAAACTCTATGACAGGTTGTAGGTTTCAAAGGACGTTTCTATAAAAGATTCTAAGTCTTTAAGGAATCAATTGGTGGCTCTCTGTAACATTTTACTCTCTATTTACGATATCTAAATAGACGCTGACTATTACCACTTCTACAATTTTAGTGGTCAGTGTCAACATTAGTGGTAGTGTACACTAGGTAGATCCTAGATTCGAATACCAACCAAAGCCAACATTTGTGCAATAACGGAAAGGACCTTGCCAGCACAAAGTATGTATCCTGTTCCGAAAGAACCGTCGATCCTGTTTACTGGAAACGAGGCATTCCATCTTAGTCCTTAGAGATGATATGTAGGTTGAGGTTAACTGTGTGCTCATTTGCCACCGCTATTTCTACTGCAGCTATATTAGTAGTATAGTTGTAGCATGAATGGGTCGGTTCGACCGGGGAAGGACCACGCTCTCACAGAATACTAGCATAAAAAAAATGCTGCGCCTTGTATGGTGAGTGTCGAGGACCGGAGATCCCTTTTACTGGAAACGAGGCATTCCTACTTAGTCCTCACGGGTGTCAATGCATCTGCATTTTGATTCGTAGTCAAATAGATATCTATAGGCCACAGAAACTACTTACAATCAGGTGAACTGTGTACTCGTTTATCACCCTTATCCTATACAAAAAAAGATAACTAAGCAAACAACAAAACTATTCGAGATTGCTATGTGTGACAAACCCGTTCTAAGGATAATCGCAACAGATTGTTCTGTTAACAGCTTGTAACTGACAACGCAACGGATCAGTCAGCTGGACTTATAAACGCGTATAAATGATAACTAATGGGGCAGAAATATTCCCCGCAAGTGCAGTGTAGGACGGCCCTCGCTAGATGGGTTTTGCCAATTTCTTTTTATTAAGTCTAATAAAAGTAGCGAGCGTGTGTTTATGATCGTGTAACTTCTAAACGACTTGACTGATTAAGTTCATATCCACATAATATATTAATTTGATTTGTTGAGATAATGATTCATAGCTATATAGGTTCCGCTGTAGTCAAATCTTTGTAATTATCTATGTATATATAAAGATCAAAATGACTCATTCAATATAAGCCTTTGAGAGATGACTACATAGTATTTGTACCATTTTCTGTAGAGACTATCGGTCCATGGGGTCCATGTATGGTGTAGTTCCTAAAGGAACTCTTTCCGCGACTGTTCGACGCTTGTAGTGATAAGAGGGCTGGTTCTTTTCTCGCTCAAAGGCTAAATATAGCCATTCAGCGAGTAAACGCAGCCCGCTTTCTCGGCACAATATCACTGAGAGTAGAACTGTGACAATTTAAACTTTTAGTTTTAGATTTTCTTTATACTATGTTTTAACAATCTAAATAAATAAATTTCACAATGTAAAAAAAAATCACTAAAATTTGGACCCGATAGGTGGCGCAGTGGTTGAAGTATTAGTTAGTTTGTAAGAAATTAATAAAAAATAAGAATTCCGAGAAAACCTCGAAATGAAGTTTCCACCAGCCGGAAAGGGCAATAATCTACATAATTGAAAATTCTTCTAGATTCTAACACTCAATATTTAATTATAACATAACTTTGAAGACATGGTCTTGAATGTATCTTTAGTGCATAAACCGGTACATTATTGTGGCCTTTGATCCACATCTTTCTAGGTTCATAGTCTATGTCCAACAATGTATTGTTGATGGATGAGATTTCGCCGTAATCGTAGCACTTGTCTGGCGAATTATTGATCGCAATATTCTCTTCTCCTTTGACCTTGCGCCCTGACGTCAGTCTGGATATTTTACATCTGATACGTACGAGACGGATTATTCCGCCACTTATCGGAAACCACAACACAATAGAATTGAATATTTATTGAAAGTTGTATATGCTTTCACCGTTAATTCGGAAAAAAATCTCTGTCCCGGATAGAACCAGCAAAAAAGCGGAACTTTTAAAAATATTAATTTACAATATAATATGTTGAACAGTTAAATATGAAAATATTTAGAATCAGCATGGTAGCTGTTTCACTCCTAGAGGTTATTATCAATTATGTATCATTTAAAAGTATATTAACCCTCTTTAAACAACTCTTGCTTAATAAAACTTAAACGTTTTGACAGACGACAGGTCCAGCATATTTTCTATGACTTTGTTGTAAAAGTTTATATATTACGCCATGAAGAAATGACTGAATATTGGAATCGAGAACAACATCTTCTAAATACATCTTTAGTTGCCTATGCCCTCGGTCATATCGACATAATCTCTATATATTATCTTCTCTATATAAAAATCAATTGTAGTTCGTTAGTCTCGCTAAAACTCGAAACTAGCTCGACCGACTCTGATGAATTTTTTTGTGTGTGTATGAGTGGACCCCTGGATGGTTCTGATTCACAATCGGACCCGTTTGGAGGCGCTGCTGTCGAAATCTAGAAATCAGCCGTACGAAGCCAGAGCGGGTCGCTAGTATGTTATACAAACTAAATCTGAGGGCTTGCGAAGTCCGAGGTGCCGGTCATTTCGCGGACCGAGACAGATTGTTTCCTACTCTACAACTCTCCCATGCTATTGCTATATTTCTTGTTTCATGCTTATTAAAATAAAAAAAAATTGTTACCTTGAATCTTTTATTCATTTTTCTCAATAATTTAACTTATGCTTAAATTAAAAACAAGGAAGACGTACCGCGAACAAACATTAACATTCATTATATTTACATACATTACATGATATACCTGTTATTCCAACAAGTATCGCATACCAATGATACAACTTTCTACTAAATACTTGTTTGTGAGCCATATTTTTCTTGATATTAATAACATATTTGTATAATGTCAACGCCTACTATTGTTTATGAAGTAAATAAAAAATTTAACAAGGTGTAAAGATACACTCGTACATCGTACTCTTTTGAAATACGTGCAAACTAAATGCGATTATATGGCTTTCAATCTTCTTACACAACATACAATTATTATTTTTCTACAGTCGTCAAACAAAACATAATAATGAACATGACTTGGTCTCCGTTCTAGATTGGAAGACTGAACGTATGCAACAAACTACGGAAGTACATATATGGCAAGTAAATTAATTAAAATTTATAAAATAATTTTAACTAAACGTTTCGAATGATCTTTTTACAAATAATATTTACAAGATATAACAGAAACAATACGCTATATATATAATACCAAGTTCTATGCTACGGTATTTACAATATTTGCATTATTGATCGGCTTGTTTAGCTTTCTTCCTTTTACACCATATAGGAACGAATATAACAACTACTACTTCACATTGAAACATAACGTAAAAAAAATATTGAGAAAAACTAAGCGTAGTAACTGAATGCGGAGAGTGCGGAGAAGTTGGGCGTTCAGCGTGCATTTTTTTATAAAACTGAAATGATAAAGGAACTTACATTCTGCCTTATGGTAAGCTGCCAATGGACAGCTGTCATTAACTTCAAATAAAGAAGGCTGCAGATGCGTTGTCACTTCTGAGTTCTGAGGACTAAGATTGAACACCTCACAGTCTGTAATCATGTAGGAACACAACAGTGCAAGCACTGTTTTTGGCGGCAGAAGAAGTTAAAAACCAAACCCAGACGGTCTCTTTGGCAGAAGCCTGAAGATGGTAATACCACCTAGTATAATATCAAAAATTAACGCGGTTAAAATTTTTGGCCTAAGTAATTGGTTGTTTTCAAATGAACGCAGAACGCGACTCCGCACGCTCCGTCGAATCTCCCGACTTAGGCTTCGTCATGTTATCGTGGAATATTACTTTCTATAGCATTTACCGAAACCTATCCCTTCATTTAATATTGATTTAATGTAACACATTGTTGCTGCTGCGCGTACATAACCCGACAAACATTTGTTTGGTAAAATCCAGTTAAGTGCATCAGATTAGTATTTACTAAGCCCAATGTGCCTAACAACCTATATTGTAATATTTCAAATGGTTAACTTGTTCAAAAATACCAAAAAAATATCATATACATGCTTAGTATTTAGTTAAATGGCTTATTAAAACCGAACGAAACGAAACGCTGTTCGTACGGAAAAGTTCAATGTTTTCGTTTGTCGAATTTTGCAGACGCAGCAACACATGTAATTCTAAAGGCAATGAAATTTTATTAAAATCCAAAATGCAAAATTTGTCGATTCGTTAAGATGTACCTTGTACAGTAATTTATTACAGAGTGTGTATTATTAACACTGGTACAACCCGTTCCGTTTTAAATATATATCAGTTAATAATCTATGATCATTATTTTTTAATATCGTTTACAGTTATTAGTGTTTACAATGTCTTTCATACACGTAATAATTATTTTGTACTAAACAGGTAATGAGCAATATATTTGCAGTCATTGCAAGTTTTAGTGTCTCTTGAGAATACTTGTTGACACTATCTAAAAAAAAAACACAAAGCAGATAATGTACGATTTAAGTACACCGTGTTCTCGATCACATTGCACTGGTATTGTTTGTGATTTGACAAAAAAAAATGTGATTCGTTCAGTCTTTTTCACCAACGAACCTGTAAGTGTCCAACGCTGGCTCAGGCATGCAGTACCCGTGATATGTGCGTATGTCCTCAGCGGCGTACGTGACCCCGGGTAGTACTCCCGGTTCCGTGTGATGCCTTGGACACGTATGGTCCCTGGGACACTGGCATATTGTGCTGGCGTTTACTTCGTCTATCTGCTCGTGTCGTCGCCTCACGCTAAACAACTTGCACGGCTCCTTCCTCGAGCATCTTAATCTCTGTAATAAAGAAAATTTAATTTATGAAAATATGTAATGAAGTTAAAATAAGTGTATTTAAATATGTAATATTTAAATCATTTTTAATAAAATAATCTGGTGAATAGTCACTACACCAAATTCAATAAAATAAAACGGTGCTACAAATTATATTAGGAAAATACGCTTAAACGAAGCATTAAAAATATATAATATCGCTAGCGCCACACCGCGGCAACTTTCGGAACTACAACAGAAACAAAACTTACACTTTGAGGTGAGCAAGCAAACTGATATTGGTTGCCCAGTTCTCCGCTAGGTGTCGTGTATGAAAGCTTCTTTAGCAAATACGTCATTGAGGCTTTTGGACAATGACAATTGACTATCTGTTGCGTTGCGTTTGTATCCGGAAAAGAATAAATCGTCCAGGCAGCATCCTTGAAGTATCGGCATTTGGGTAATCGCTTTATCGGCTCGCACGTTTTGTAAAGCGTCGTTTTGTCGGCTAACGTATGGTTGTCATCCGCTGACAGGTCACTGAAATTAAGAGAAATAAAAATTGAAATAAATATGTACTTTTTGTGATATGACCTTTATTGTATACATTTAATTTAGTTAAAAAATTTACATTAAAGTTATTTGTCAGCTATCGCACTTTCTCATGTTTTTGGAAATATAGATATATTACCATCGTACTGGTCTTTATTAGAATCGATTATACTTATTTTTATTCAACACTAGCAATCCGCCCCGGCTTCACACGGGAGATTTCTGTATCTCAACAATAGTACCACCTACCGGGTCCCGATTTTGAATCTAAATCATTCAAGGACCCACTCGAACACACAAAAAATTTCGTCACAATCGGTCCAGCTACGTAGCTAGCTATTTTTTTGAGTTTTAGTGAGACTAACGGACAGCAATATACGTGGTAGAGCCATGCTGCAACTATATTAATAATATAGTTGTAGCACGAATGGGTTGGCTCGACCGGGGAATGATCACGCTCTTACAGAATACCAGCGTAAAATAGCGGCTTAATGCTGCTGTGTTTCGTATGATGAGTTTAGAGAACCGGAGACCCTTTTTATTGGAAAAGAGGCATTCCATCTTAGTGCTCACGGCTGACAACGCATCTGCATTTGAATTCGCAAACGAAGATAGATGTAGATGTCTATGGACCACAGCAAACACTTACCATCAGGTGGACTGTGTGCTCGTTTTTTATAGAATAAGGGTAACACCCTTATTCTATAAAAAAAAATATTTATATATACTTAGAGATAATAAATTACAAGTAATACTTATTGAAAGTCATTTATATTTTACTATTGGTTCAAGAAAAAAGAACTCTTCCCTGGGAAGAACCAGGAAAAAAACCCAGTGGTACTCTTTTTAAACTAATAATTTATAAGAATTTACAATATAGTACAATTTATACATTACAAACAGCATATTGATCACCTCACTCCCAAAGGTTAATATCTGTCAGGTATTATTTAATATATGTTATAATAACCCTTTTTATAGAGCTTTTGTTTAATAAAAATTTTAAACTTTTTGATATATTTAGATTTTTATATATTTTCTGGAGCTTTGTTCCGACTCCTTAAAGTCGATCGAGTTGACCAACTCTTCAAAGTCGATTAATTGTTATTGCTAGATTTTGCTTGTTTCTATTATATTTTATATATTATATTTATCAGGCTCTCACGACAAAGGCATGCCTAGTGTGAGGACCACAGAACTATACACCCTTGTTTATACACTCCAGCTTAGTTGGTGTGATAAGATCACAGTTTATAATTGTATACTAGAGAATTAAGATTACTGTACTTCTGTTTTATTATCTTATATTGTATACTATAATCTGTACCACCTTAGCTGTAAATAAACATTTTTTCATTTTCATTTTTCATTCTATTTACTAAAAATACGTCACTATTTTTAAGAAAACTATTTTTTAAATAAACAAATAATATGCAAAAAATATATAAATACATAAATTACTAATAGAAATTATATATTATGAACATTGTTATTAATATCACCCTCACCTTGAACACGGCTTGTGCCCCAAGCAACGACATTTTCTTTCTATCCAAGGTTGCGTTGTGTCGTAAAGATCTACTTTGCTGCACACCTGTCTCGACCTGCAGTCCGGAAGGTCCTCCTCTGATACCTGTAATTAGTTTCATATTTTTTATAACGCGACCTAAATCAAACAGATGTATATTTTATTTTAGACATAAGATTTACAAATAAGGCTACCGTCCACTACACCGGTAAGTAAATTCTGTGACCCATTATGTACACCTAAGTTTATTCCCGATTAAGAATCAAAATGCAGGTTGTGATGTAATGTATTTAGTATTTAGTAAACCTTACTGTCTCTTTGGTTTAGTGCTCGTAAACGTGACTGCTGGTCATGAGGTCTCGGGTTCGAATCCCGGGTTGGGCCAAAATCAGTTAATAGGGTTTATCTTTCAAGAAATTCTCAGTAGCAACCCGGAGTTAGGAAGTTGGCGGTCCTTCACCCCCGTGCTTTGGAAAGTATGCAAAGCCGTCAGTCCTGCGCCTCATCTCTCTCCGGTCGTGTCGAATTACCGTATCATCGAACTATGACAGTTAGGGAATAGAAAGTGCACCTGTGCTTGCGCACACACTTGGACGCTATATTCCTATCCTGCACAGATGACGAGTCTCGGTTGATACTGCCGCCGTGACTGAAATTCGGTTTTAAGGACATTACTATTATTTAGTAGACCGACAGTAGTGTAAAGGTATCGCTTGCGAAAATAAATTTGTATTCGAATTCTCCATTCCAATTCACGTATCCATGATCCACTGACAACACGAGCATTTTATGCTTACTTACTTTAACGGGAATATTAATAATGCTTACAGCGTTACAAGTGTTTTATTATTATTTAATAGCCTATGAATTTCCCAATGCTGGACGCCCTATCTCGCTCTCATTAGAGTGGGAGCGTCCCTTACGATACTCCAGTACTTGTTTACGAACTTCACGCGTTAGAAAATATTAGCCGTCTCGGCGGCCAGTCTCAATGAAAACTAGCCATCTGCGCAACACAGAATTATAGTGCACGCAAACACAGATGTGCTCTCTATTCCCTCACACTTATAGTCCAATGACACGAGCCTAGAGAAATCAGGCACAAGACCAACGGCTTTACATGATTTACAAGGCACAAGGGGTAAACCGCCAACTTCCGGACTCCAGGATTTTTTATTGGATAGGGTGACAAATGGGCACACAGTCCACCTGATGGTAAGTGGTTGCTGTGACCCATAGACATCTACATCTATCCTCGTTTGGGAATCAAAATGCAGATGCGTTGTCACCCGTGAGGGCTAAGATGGAATGCCTCTTTTCCAGTAAAATGGGTCTCCGGTTCTCTACACCCACCATACGAAACACAGCAGTGTAAGCTGCTATTTTACGCTAGTATTCTGTAAGAGCGTGGTCCTCCCCGGTCGAGCCGACCCATTCGTGCTATAACTATACTACTAATACTAATAATATAGCTGCAGCACGGAAGAAAAGAAAAACTCAATAACTGATTTTGGCAGTAGTCGCAACTCGTGCCAAGGGAGCAAAGAAGTAGTTATAGTTGGTGCTAATCAGTACAACACATTGAAGCTAACAATTTTAGTAGTGCCGGCAGATATCGAACACAGGCTTTTCACATATTACAAGATTAGATTAAATTAGATTACGACGGGCAATTTTCCGCAGCTACACGTATTTTGCATGTGGGCAGAAATATTAAGATTATTTCAGCCATGAGATATCCACGAATAATTTCAGCAGTCCTTTGATGTTGTGAGCAACTTCGGAAAGTGATCCCGACGGGCCGAGATGTTTAGCCCTGTATGCAGCGACCTCCGTACATGCCAGCAACACCTCGTCCGCCGTTTCCTCCTCCCTCATACATGCCACATGTTACAAAGTCTACGATAAACGCCTTGTCCCAGAGCTACTATGTGAAATCATATTTCATAGTATAATAAACATAACGCGAATCTCCACAACCTTGCCTTTCATTTAAAATCGATTTGATACAATAATTAATTCACCCGCAGCTATGTATGCACATTGAGCGATTCGTAATTCGCTGCAGCTGTAAATTTTGATAATTTAGGCATTCGTTACACGATACAAATCCTAAAGGTCAAACACGAGGAAAGATGTGTGGGAAATAAAAAAAAACTACTTTCTTCCGTCAAATATAGTAGTACAATATAGAAGAAATCATCACAACAAGCGACTTCCGAAGGACGTTAATCATAATGGTTCAAATGAGAAAAGTATAATACAAGAACATCAGCGCGTTCGGAGCTTCAGAGTTCATTCAATAGGTTTTTTTTAAAGCAACGGGCCATCAGTTGTACTTCCGACCGGAAGACATGCCATTTGGCAACCTGCTAGCTGTGGGAATATTTTTTCTGCAACATTCTTTCCTTAGGGTTACTTACAACAGATGTTCTGTTTTTGAACCAATATTTACAAATTTGATGTTTAATTTGAATATTTATAGTTTAAAAAAAATTGTGCTGCACTGCTGTGGTCAGGTGTGAAAAGTAGAGAGAGCCTGTAATAATAGGTTGGGAAGCATTCCATCTCAATTCTCAGGAACGACAATGCATCTGCAGCCTTCTTTTTTTGAAGTTGGCTGCAGGTGGCAATAAGCTGCAATAGCCGCTTCAGGTGAAATGTAAGTTCATTTTTAATAGAATTCTTATATGTAACTTTCCTAAAATCCGTCAGCCAAAATCCTATTAAAAGCCGTACATGACATTTAATTTCAACAACCCTATTATATACTGGCGCAAAAGGCAATGTATTTTTTTTCTTTGTTCCGGATACACTTCCCGTCTCTTCTGTGATGAGACAGATTTCGCGGAAACCATCTCGAACGTATCTCCCAACGGACGGATATGGCCCTTTTGTGAAGTAAACAAATAGTCCGACCTAGGAACTACCGCTAAAAGTAGGGTGCGTGACACGCTTTATAATGTGACGGAATACTATTTATCTTGAAAGTTAATGCAACAGTTATAAAAACTTTCTTAATTACGAGGCTTGTTATGTCTTGTAGTATAAAAAGCTACAGGCGACAGTTTGTAGATTTTACTATTATACATAACGTCAAATATTATAGCCTCGTGTAATAATTTACATTATGTACATATATATCATACAATATATTTATATATTTGATTAATGAAATCCTACTTGGTAAATTAGCGTATTATAGCAAAAGTACAAATAAGTCGGCCCGATCAGGAAGGAACCCCGCTCACACAGAACCCTAGCGTAAAATGCAGTTTTTTTTATAAATAAGTGTGACAAACGAGCACGGAGTCCACCTGAAAGGTGTAGAAGTGGATGTATAGACATCTACATTTATCCTCGATTAGGAATCAAAATGCAGACGTTGTCACCCCTGAGGACTAAGATGGAATGCCTGTTCTAGTAAAAAGTGTCACCGCTTCTCTACAATAACCATACGAAACATTTCAGCATTAAGCTGCTATTTTGCACTGGTAATCTGTCAGACCGTGGTCCTCCCTCAGTCAAGCTGAACCCCGAGCCTACTTTTTCGTACTACAACCATAATATAGCTGCAGCGAGGCTTACCACGTATAAAAGCATGACAATGCTGTGTTGCGTATAGTGCGTATAAGTGACGAGAAATTTCTCAAACCCAGCACTTACTATCGAGTGGACTAGTTGCCTGTTTGTCAACCTATAATGAAAAATATGCCTAAATTTGCTTGTCGTTTTGCAACTAATGTGCTGATTTTCGGATTGCCTGCCCACGGGCGCAAAGGATGTCATTTTTTGGAAAGTCCATGATTGCGTGTAGAGCCGACGGCGATATTATAAAAGGACCTTATATTCATCCTTTTCTGAAATAAAAAGAAACGGCATACATAGTTTTCAGTATAGTGCAAGTGAGACGGGGGTATGTGGATGTTGGTAAGTGGGGAGAGCGGATCGGGCACGGCATCCGGTGCGTCGGACAGGTGGCGGCGCGCGCTCTTCGCCGCGCCCACTAATGAAATAATTTGTTATTCGTGCCTGGGTGACCTTAGACAACCTTCTCAAAACAGCCCATTGATATCCCACGCGAGCTAAGGTCAATACGAAGTTACCAAAAGAGAAATATAACGAAGATCCAGAAAGAAATTATGGCATTTGATATTTTTACTCTTGCTTCAATAAAATATTCTATTTCAAGATATATAAAAATTCTAAGAATATATTGAGAATAACATACTTTAGTAGACTTTTCCTTTGAACACAATTTACTTAATGAAGCCTAAACAACTATGGGTTATTTTGCGAAACTGCAAACAGGTTTTCTATACAACGCAGTCGACCTTTCAGCCGTTCGCATCTAAAGAAAGAAGTAAATAAAAAAATGTCGAGTGTAAGTTATATTTGTAGTTACATTTAATGTTACGACGTTTGAATAATGACGTAATGAATATTATATTATTCAAAGGTTGTTTAGAAAGCTTTTAATTATTAAACACCCCCGGATGAAAATCTTAAAAAAATGTTTTTTGTATTACTCTCCTAAAATTAACACCTAAGTAATAAATCCCAATTTTTCGAACTAGTCTGTTTGGGTGGCCCATTTCAGTGTGTAGGTCTATGATATCTTTGCCCAATTTCAGTTATCAGAATAAGCAAATACCTGAGTGATGATTCCATTAGTATTTTTTTTATAGGATAGGGTGACAAACGAGCACACAGTCCACCTGATGGTAAGTGGTTGCTGTAGCCCATAGACATCTACATTTATCCTCGTTTGCGAATCAAAATGCAGATGCATTGTCACTCGTGAGGACTAAGATGGAATGCCTCTTTTCCAGTAAAATAGGTTTCCGGTTCTTTACACTCACCATACGAAACACAGCAGTGTTAAGCTGCTATTTGACGCTGGTATTCTGAGAGAGCGTGGCCCTTCCCCGGTCGAGCCGACCCATTCGTGCTACAACTATAATACTAATATAGCTGTAGCATGGCTCTACTACGTATAAAAGTAGTATCTACTACGTATAAAAGTAGTATTCCACTCTGCTGTTTTTGCCACGAGACACTAAAAGTATTTGTTCATAGTTATTTTTCTTTATTAACGGAAGTGC